ATATATATATATATATATATATTTATTTTATTTCAGATTTATTTCAATTTATGAATATGATGTTTGATGAGTTTTAGCTTCTAAGACTGGTTCCACTGTGGTTTTCTGGCACATATTTATCTATTTACTGTATTTTAATTTTATCTTTTAAATTTAAAAAGTCAACTCAACTGCTGACATGCACGTGTAAAGATGTGTGGTTCTACCTGCATCTATCACCGTCCTGTAACTGACTTTCTTGAATTGATAGTGGTTTTTAAGCTTCCAATTTTGTGGCAAAAAAATCAGTTCTTAACTTTGAAATACAAAAAAAAAAAGTTTTTTTTGTGATTTTAACTCAAATAAACTGATACATTTGTTTCCCCTACTACTGGCTGACTGCATCTACTTTATGAATAAATGACTGCTGTCAACCAGCCACATGGGAAACACTGTTTGACAAGAATCTAGCAGATCACGCTCAACAGCTACTATCGGTGCAACGTTTCACAACATACCTTTTATTTAGAAAGGGTCCAATAAATTGGTCAAAAGTGACAGCAAAGACATTTAGAATCTTACAAAAGATTTATATTTCAAATAAATGCTGTTCATCACTTTTTCCACAAAAAATATGAAGCAGCACAACTGTTTTCAACACTGATAATAATAAGAAATGTTTTTTGATCAGCTAATAAGCATATTAGGATGATTTCTAAGGATCACGTGACACTGAAGGCTGGAGTAATGATGCTGAAAATCAGCTTTGCATCACAGGACTAAATATCATTTTAAAATATTTTAAAATAGATTTTAAATTGTAGAAATATTTCGCAATATTACTGTTATTACTGCATTTCTGAGCAATTCAATTGAGTACTTGGCCCAAAAAGTTGTAAACCCCGGCTTTAAACCAAGCAGAAATCCATCGCTCTAATGAAAACACAGTCTTAAATAGCTATGATTTGTCAAAGTAATTATACAGTAAATTATAGCGTAAGCATGTTGCTTCAATCCTGACAAAATGTAACCAGTGGCTCAAGGGATACTGTGAATGACAGCTAACCACTGCTGAATAATAGCATGGCTGGCATGACTCAGTGTTGCGTAAGAGGAAATATGAAGCAGCACAACTGTTTTCAACACTGATAATAATAAGAAATGTTTCTTGATCAGCTAATAAGCATATTAGGATGATATCTAAGGATCACGTGACACTGAAGGCTGGAGTAATGATGCTGAAAATCAGCTTTGCATCACAGGACTAAATATCATTTTAAAATATTTTAAAATAGATTTTAAATTGTAGAAATATTTCGCAATATTACTGTTATTACTGCATTTCTGAGCAATTCAATTGAGTACTTGGCCCAAAAAGTTGTAAACCCCGGCTTTAAACCAAGCAGAAATCCATCGCTCTAATGAAAACACAGTCTTAAATAGCTATGATTTGTCAAAGTAATTATACAGTAAATTATAGCGTAAGCATGTTGCTTCAATCCTGACAAAATGTAACCAGTGGCTCAAGGGATACTGTGAATGACAGCTAACCACTGCTGAATAATAGCATGGCTGGCATGACTCAGTGTTGCGTAAGAGGAAGCACCACAATGGTAAATATTTACTCTTGACAAGACCCAGACCACGCTGCTATATATTATCTGATAAATAACACTCAATAAAAATCGATTTTATAGGGATGCAGAGTTTGGGACCTCAACATTTGAATGTTCTGGAACACAGATGAGCTACTGTGGATAAAATGTGCAAGATACAAAACACAAGTTATTTGGTATTATTTATGTGCTATTATGGTATTAATTAATATTTTCATTTTGCGCTTTTGTTTTTATGTTTTTAGTTTTCATTTGAATTTAATGTGAATATTTGATATTAAAACTTGTTATATGGTTTTCATTTTTGTAAATCTATTTACACTCAAAAAATTCCATAAAATAGGGCACAGTGTACCGTATAAATATGAAGAATTTTTAACATATGCTTCACCAGTATTTTGCACTGCATTGTGTTTTTGGAAAGTTAATGGAAATTAAAATAAAATTAATGGATAACGTCCTGGCAGAAAATTACTAGTACATTTTCCAGTGCAGCTTTGATTTATTTTTTTATTTTTAGTTTTATTAATTTTAGTAACTTACTTTATTTCATTTTTTTCATCTAATATATATATATATATATATATTTATTTTATTTCAGATTTATTTCAATTTATGAATATGATGTTTGATGAGTTTTAGCTTCTAAGACTGGTTCCACTGTGGTTTTCTGGCACATATTTATCTATTTACTGTATTTTAATTTTATCTTTTAAATTTAAAAAGTCAACTCAACTGCTGACATGCACGTGTAAAGATGTGTGGTTCTACCTGCATCTATCACCGTCCTGTAACTGACTTTCTTGAATTGATAGTGGTTTTTAAGCTTCCAATTTTGTGGCAAAAAAATCAGTTCTTAACTTTGAAATACAAAAAAAAAAAGTTTTTTTTGTGATTTTAACTCAAATAAACTGATACATTTGTTTCCCCTACTACTGGCTGACTGCATCTACTTTATGAATAAATGACTGCTGTCAACCAGCCACATGGGAAACACTGTTTGACAAGAATCTAGCAGATCACGCTCAACAGCTACTATCGGTGCAACGTTTCACAACATACCCTACTTCAACAGAAAATGACAGCATGACAGCTGTAAGAGCACTGGATGTTCTCTTTGCATTCGCATTGTCACTGAAAGTGGACTTGGATCTGTTTTTAGTCCACTTTAGCATTAATCTAGGATGTTTTATACGTTAATAAGCCACTGCACACAAAGTACCTTTCACACCCTGAAAGTAAACAAGTAAATCCTCACTGTCTGAGCCCCAGCATGCATCTCCACTAATGTTACAGCAAGATAGAAAAGCTGATGTTTCACGTTTAAAAACCAGCATGAAACAGACCAGCAGTGAATAACAGAAGCATACAGTTGAGTAAAAGAGAGTCGTGAAGTTCGAGGAGAACTGCGAGATGGGTATTTACCGTGAGGAGACGTTCCCTGGAATGAGCAGCACAGAAAGCAGCAGAGAGAGGGAATGAATTACAGCCCGTTCTGTTTCTGCTGGGAGGGCGTTTGCAATTTACTGTGATTCTGTGACTCAGCCTTTGTCCGTGTGTGTGTGTGTGTGTGTGTGTGTGTGTGTGTGTGTGTGTTATACACCATTCTGGGCAAGCCAGGATCATACATGAAACTCTCTGTGCCTAACGAGTCCAAAGCACTAGCTTTTCTAATCTTTTTGTATTCTATCTTTCTGTTTTCTTTTTATTTATTATACAATTAACAAAAGCGAAAAAGGCCTCTAACACTAGCTTGCTCTATTCTTTTTCTATTCTATCTGTTTTCTTTTTATTTAATATATAATTTAAAAAAAAACCTTGCTACGTGTACTGCGTTAAGCTAACTGAGACTTGTTATAACACTTGCGTATCATTGCTCTTTTGCTGATTTTGATTGCTTACATTGTCCTCATTTGTAAGTCGCTTTGGATGGTGGACGAGCGTTTTGTATCTCTGCTCCACATTCGTGATCTTTCTTCATTACAGGATTTCAAAACCCACCTTAAAACATATCTTTTCCTTTCTTGTTTCTCTGATCTCTGACTGCATGATCTGATTCATGCCATGGATTTCATGTTTATCTGTATTTTGTCTGCTGTCATGTTTATCTGTTTTGATATTGTAAAGCGACCTTGAGTATTGAGGGAGAAAAAATTTATTATTATTATCATTATTATAAAAGAGTCTGCTAAATGACTAAATGTAAATGAAAAGATGTATCTCTCTGTCATGGAACCTGCATTAAACTATTTAACAATCAATTCAAAAGAAATATATACCTGTATGATATGATGCTGTAGGCTAGCTACCCATCAGCGGTTTGGAAAATGGATGGATGGATGATTCAGCTGCAGGCGCCACCTTCAGGCAAGACGCGAGAACTCAGTCGGCATGACCCTTACAGTGCATTTTGGGTATTCTCTAGCTGTTGAGTGTTCTTGTGGGTCATTATGGGATTGAGTGCCCTCAATAACATCTACTATGGTTTCGGAGACCACTACAGATGGGTGAACTAACTATGAGGTTAACTGTAAAATTGAGGTTAAACTGCAAACACACTTCCTCAAGAAGTCATTTTCACACCCAATAGACACTGTATTATCACATGCACTGCACACTTCTTAAGAAATCTTTATCACAGTTTTATTCCAGGGAAAGGAGGTTTCAAGTGGATGAGATTATTCATCCCTATTTACCCACACCACCTTTCTTTCCTCATATCTCACAACGATATGTAATGAGCAGTTAAATGGGTCACAAAAAAATAAAGAGCCTATTATATGATAGGATAATTATTGTAACTACATTACCATTAAAAAGTTTGCAATTGGCAAATTAAAATGTAACATTTTTACCTGTGATGGCAAAGCAGTTATTACTCAAGTCAACTAGGAAAACCACTTACATGAAAATTAAAAATTAATTAATATGCTGATTTGCTTTTTCAGATAATGAAGTTACGCTTGCATTTCTTCCAGGTCACTGTACTCTTTCTAGTTAGATTTTGTGATTGTTTTTTTTAAATGACCAAACAACACAATTGTTCATCTTACTCTTTTTTGTAATAGATGAAGGCCGCTCTATACATGATTATCTTGAGAAAGCAAGCAAACTGAATCTAACCGGCTCGTAGACGGCTCAGATGAACAAGAAGATGGGAAGTTTTTGAGAACCAGAGCTCTGACTGGTGCTCAGCTGGACACTTCACTGAACAATTCAACCCAAACACCAGCTTCATTTGCAACAGTCAAGAGAAGACTCTCAGTCAGATGCCATGGACTTTGCTCAATTTTATGCATGCTTGGTGAATAAACCAATCATTTTCTGTCAAAGAAATTCCAAACCTGTCGTTGTGATTCCAAACCTTTGAATGGTAGTGTACATTAAGACATACAGACCACTTACCGTGCTGCACGTCTGCTGTTGAAGAGGATGTTTGTTTTCTTCATCAAACTGAACGGCAATCTTCAGCTCACTATGTGTGTCATTCTCTATCCCTCTCTCTGTACTGAGTCTCTCTGCTTTGACTCGGTGGCTTTGTAAACCCTCCCTCACTACTTTTCGCCTTCCTCAGGTTCTGTTCTGCCATCCAAAATAAATATTTAACAGTCAGACAATGTGATCAACAACCAAAGGTCACGTCCCACTCACTCCGCCTCTCTCCTCCCCCTCTTTTTATGATTTTCCCTCCCTTATAACTTAGTTTCTGGGGTTTAACTGGAACTAATGATTTAATGCTGATGGCCGACTGATTGGACTTGTTGCCCACTGCAGAAACAAATGATACATGAAAGCACAACACCAAAGATCTGTATTTATAGGCTTAAAATAAGTCAGTATTTTGCATCTTTTAGTCACTGCGCTATACAGCCCTTTGTGCATTTAATATTTAATAATTTAACCTGGTCCAACCTGCACTCAACAAAACAAATCATGGTATATTTTATTATTAAACATGTGCATTAATTTGATTTATCGTATTTCTAAATGTACTTATTCAAATACCTTAGAATTAGGCCAAATCTGTTATTTGTGGAGAAAAAAATGAATCAGTTGAAAAATATGAACATGGTCTATACATAAGCATAAAATGTTCGGTTTAGCAAATGGATTGTGTGATAAACATATAAACCTGGTTTTGTGCATTTAAAACGGACAAATATGCATCACAGATTATTAGTTTATGCTAAAGTTAGGTGTAATCCAAATGAATGAAAATGTTATTTGCAAAAAATATATATAAATCTTTAAACCTCCTCACATAAATTGGCATAAACATTTGTGGGGGGAAAAGTCTTTCCCTCAGAACATATTTATGATCTTTAAAATGTAGTTCGCTGTTGTCTGAAGGTCAATTTAGTTTCATTAACTTCACTTGTAACATACCAGCTAAAAAGAAAAATGTGGTAACTTACTGTAATTTTAGTTTGGAGGACAGAATTAACAAATATTATACTAATTTAAGAGGATTTTTAAACTAGATGTTTGAAATAAACATACAAAACCACTGCTACAGAAACACACATTTGTAAATTTAGACTTTTAACTCAAAACTCTTTGTGACAACTAGCCCCGGTGCTATTTTGACTGGTTTAAATATTATGTATTAGGGCCTACCATTTCAAAAAGAAGATCATATCAAAATAAGCATCATCCTGAGATCATTTCCCCCCTGTATTTCTCAATATTCCCTAAAATCCTAAGGAATCTATGGTATTTCAACATCAAAAAGCCAGAAACTAACAAACTAAACCAAATATAGCACTTTCTCTTCTTAGTACACACTGCATTTCTCGCGCCCAAATCCGTGATTCCTCTTCTCCACCCTTCCTGACTATTTTCAAATAACTCACTATTTTAAAGGGAAAAGTTCACTCACGTTTAAATTTAGACTTTCTCTGCAGCACTGCAGCAATATTCATATTGATGAACACTGAACATGAACGTCGTAAAACAATTTGGATACGAATAACTATCAGTAAACTTTCATAAATGTTTCTTCTGTGTTGCTGGAAGTTTCTGTTTTCCTATAAAATACTGACACCTGGCGGAAAAGACCAGCATAAAAATCAATCAAACAAACTGTTTACATAAAATGTATTTAATACAAAAAAAAACAAAAAACATTAGTCATACACATAAATAGATATTTACATCATGTTATTTACATTATAGATTTAGAACATCTCGGCATACGTATAAATATACATATAAACAAATATAATCAATATGACTCAAAATAAAAATAAATATTCATTCAAATTCAGTGCATTTATCCAAAGCGACTTACAAAACGGAGTAAATATATATATATATATATATATATATATATACAACATCTGCACAGTGCAGTGACAGATTTGTGCATTACAGCAGCACATAAGAACTTAAAATACATTCAATGTACATTCAACAAACTGTAGCTGGGAAGAAAGCTAGTGGTCATAGGGATGGAAGGAACCCAAGGGCTGACGACACAGAGGACAGGTCCCAAACATCATGTGAACCCTCATGGCACATGGGGTACACACACATTTATGACCGCAGCTCAGACGACAGTTTGCCACATTACTGTAACACACCACACACTCCTCACAGGCTGGAGCTTCGTGATCTAAAGCAAGAAAAGGGAGGAGTTTAGGTGGTGAAATTAGGTGTACTAGGCCATAACATAGCTGCCTTGCTCTTGTCTGATTCTCACCTGTGCTGTCAAGGTGATGGTTTCTCAGGTTTCTCTGTTCCAGCATGCTCATTTGTTTCTTTCTCTCCTGCGTTTCTTTATCTTCAGTGTGTCTGATGTGTGTGAGAGCAGGACAGGACCGACTGGTGAAGACCCAGCGCTTCATTTTGGAACCTATATACAGAGACCACATCAACTGTTAGGACAACTCAAGTCTAAGACAACTCAAAAAAAACAAGCTTTTATTTACGATAACGCTTGAGTGTAGCTTAGGTCAGGGGGGTTCAAACTTGGGGCCGCAAGTGCTGTCAAAGTTAACAGTTACATTTAAGATACTAATGAATTCGTTTGTTGTACATGACTTATTTATTTTACAATCACATTCACAATATTATTATTTGTATCTTATTATGTGTTAATAATTAATATTACTAATAATAATAATTGTATCTTTAATTGTATTAATTAATTCAGTACTATTATTATATTATGCTTTCTAAAGGGTGGTCGGAAATCATGAGATTAATTGAGATTATTTTATTCTACTCAAATACTATGACAAATCAATCAAGTACAGTTTTCTAGATAATATTTTAACAATTTTCTTTACAATGACAATATTAAAAAAAACATTTATTTATTTATCATTAATTCATTTGAATTAATCCTAAATTAATTTGCTGTTTTTATAATATTTTTGCACACTGCATAAATGGGTTTTTCATGAATATTACGCATTTATATTTTTAGGAAAGGGGCATCATATTGGTGACTTTCTCTTACAGAACAATAAAACATAATTTGATATAACATCATATTTTAAACTCATACCACAAAAATAAAAAGATATTTTGATTGTGTGTGTGTGTGTGTGTGTGTGTGTGTACCTGTTTTTCTATTCTGGTGGGGACTTAAACCTGACTACACACAGACTCATGGGGACTCGTGTCACGGTGGGGACCTAAATTGAGGCCCCCACGGGTAAACAAGCTAATAAATCACACAGAATGAAGTTTTTTGAAAATCTAAAAATGCAGAAAGATTCCTGTGAGGGGTAGGTTTAGGGGTAGGGTTGGTGTAGAGCAATAGAATGTACGGTCTGTACAGTAGAAAAACCATTACACCTATGGAGAGTCCCCACAAATATAGCTGACCAGACGTGTGTGTGTGTGTGTGTGTGTGTGTGTGTGTCTTAAAAGGGATAGTTCGTCCAAAAAAGAAAATTCTGTCATCATTTACTTGCCCTCAAGTTGTTTCAAACCTCCCCCCATGCATTGGAAGCATAGACGACTGGAAGTCAATGGGTACCGTCAATTGTTGCCCACATTCTTCAAAATATCTTCTTTTGTGTTCAATATAAGAAGGAGACTCGTACAGGTTTGGAACAGCTTGAGGGTGAGTAAATGAGTAAATGATTTTTGGGTGAACTATCCCTTTAATCCAGTCAGAGCACAATATGACAGAATAGAAGGCTCACCGAGCATCGTGACTGCCGTGGTCTGCCCATAGACGTCAATCATCGCCCAGACGGGCCACTTGGGGTTCAGGGTGGTCTGTTCCGTGTGTGTTCTGCCATCAGAGCTTCGTATCCTCACACTGCCGTTCTTCTTCAGCATGAACTCGATCTCTGAGCCAGGGCGACAGATGTGCTCGGGGACTATCACTGCGGCGTACAGCGGAGAGTTGGTCAGGTCTGGGATGGCCAGAGGGGGTAGAGGTGTCTGCTCGGGTGACACATGAGCGAACCCGAGCCGCAGCGCTCCGTGCCAGTCTCCGTCAGAGCGCTCGACCCGCAGGCGCAGCTTCTCCTCGGTCTTCACCGCTCGCCCGCTGAACGTCAGCCCGTGGCAGAAGGACGACTCGTCCCTGGTCACCCGACGCCCGCCGTCGCTCAGCGTTATCAGACGACCCTTCACGTCTGAGTGGAAAGAAATCGCTTTCAGGCTCCACCGCGTGCCACACACGCACTTGGCTTCCTCTGGAGGAGAAATAAGACCAGTCTGGCGTTAGAGATTCATCTAAGCGGTGTAGCTCTCTCTGTTTTGATTCAGCTGTCTCTTTTGCTACTTTCGTTAACACGGGACTTTCCAGTGCGTTTGATTCGCGAATCATTCTTTTGGTTCAAATGACTCGAGAATCGAACTGATCCGAGCGCCTCGCGAGTCAATCCTCATTGAACTAAAAATGAACTACCAATTGTTGAATATATTTACGACGTGACAGTTTTATAAACACACATATGAAACCGTGTTGGTTTGATTCTCAACCAAAAGAGATAGACGCGCAGACGCAGCAAGCAGGTAATTGACACACAACTGTCATCTCTCTCGATTGATCGATAATCAATTGAAATACATGCTATAATTCATTCAAATAAATGTGGTCTTACCGCACTATTTCATCTGTGTCTGATTTGAATCTGGCAGAATGTTTGCGCTAACGAGCCGTAACTGTCGAAAAGAACTAATTTTTTTACCCATTCAGTCAAATATTGCGCTGCAAAAAGCAATACAAGTTTTAACTTGTCTATAACTTGGCAAATGACCATGGAATAAGTGGGATAAACAACGGCTAGCCATGCATTAAAGGATTTTAATGCACTTGGCGGAGGCACTCTGCTTCGCGTGGGGTGGTTCGTTGCCTCCACATCGTGCATTAAAATCGTCTTAGGTTACTTATGTAACCATGGTTCCCTGAGTAGGGAACGAGACACTGCGTCCTCTAGGGGTCGCTATGGGGAACGCCTCGTCGTGACCCGTGTCTGAAGCATACATTGAAAAAACACCAACTCGTTGGCCGGCGACAGCCATGACGTCACTACCGGTGCGACTCCAGTATAAATCGGCGCCGGGAGCTACACATCATTCACTTCTTCGTCTGAAGCTTGCGTCCGCAGCATGGCAAGAAACCTAGAGGACGCAGTGTCTCGTTCCCTACTCAGGGAACCATGGTTACATAAGTAACCCGAGACGTTCCCTTTCATGGGAACTTCGAACTGCGTCCTCTAGGGATCGCTATGGGGAATGGTATACCCACGCCACCATGCTGAGGGGAATGCAAGCCAGAACCATGGCGAGCACCAACTCTACCATATTGCTGTGGGAGTTCTAGCAGTAGTTTACCTAGGCTGAGGGAGCACAAACCCAGCTCTCCCGAGAGTGGGCTCAATCTGCAGCATAATTGTAAAATCAGAAGGGTAAGCATACTGCAAGCTAGCCAAACACTCAGCGCATCAGGGAGGCAGAGGAAGGGCCTAATCCACCTGATGCTGCTGGTTCCAGGTGCTCTGGAAAAACAGAGAACTCAACTTCTCATGTGAGAGGAGAACTCCGAATTCAGAGGATAACGTTGCTCATTCCAGGTAACCCTTTGAAAAAAGGGAGCACTGCTCAAACTACCACGAGGACAGCCCATGGTGCGAGGCATCCAACTCCTCAGAAAGGATTAACGCTCGAAAGAAAGCACCATACTCATAATAACCCTCACTGGTGAGGGGAGCGATGCTTCCAGAGTGTGTCGATAGAGACACACTAGTTGAGTGGAGCCCAAGGAACCTGGGTCTAATCAACTCAGAAAAAGGGAACGAGGTCAATAACGCGTAACCCCTACCATACAGGATTTTAGAAAAGTGGGCAAAGCATAACGTGCACACACTTGAAATACCATTCTAGGGGTTCTCGTGGCACCCTGAAAAGGCAGCCTATAGATAAAAATAGCGTATCCCCAGACGCTATATCTACGGCTATAATGCTGGAGTGGCTAGCAGTAAATCTGTAGCTGAGGGAGCAACATCCAGCTCTCAACGAGAGGGAGCTCAACCTACAGCATGTTCCAATGGTGGAACAGCTAGCAATTATTCAGCTGAGGGAGCAACACACCCAGTTCTCAATCCGAGGAGGGGGCTCGACCTGCAGCATGTTCCAAAGCTGGAACAGCTAGCAATAATTTACTTAGCTGTGGGAGCAACACACCTAATTCTCAG